TCTTACTTGATTTTGTGATTGTCATGAATAAACATTTTGAAGATACAATTCATTATATTTTTTTTATCACGTAACAATATTGTAGTTTTAACAAGTTTGATTACTATAGAGGGCGGCAGACTGAAATTTACCGACATCAGAAGCAACCTTTCTATTTAAATTTTTGTTCTTTGTATAATTGTCGCTTGATTGTACTACTATATTGTATTATGATTTTATGAACGCACCACCGTGCAGGTGTATGTCACTGTTCTTAGAGTGAGTTCTGAATAATAATAAAAATAATCTATTTGGGTATGCACTTTAGAACCAGTGGCACTCAACCACAAGGGTGGTGCATCTTAACAACAAGAAAAAAATATAAAAATTACAATAAAAAAGAAAGACATCTAAACAACAAGATAATCAAATCAGCTCAAACTAAAACATAGAGAAAATAGTTCTATTTTCCCTATGACAAAAATAACATCATCATCTAGATGACACGTCTCTCTCCTGCAACAGTCGTGCAGACGACGGAACGCCCACCAGAGACACTCATCAGCCCGGCTGGTCGTAACAGGGCTGTTACAACCAAGAATGCACACCCGCACGGGTACTACAAAAGAGAGACCCGTCACTACAGCTGAACAAAGTGTAAAGAAGTTCTAAAAAGTCAAAACAGCGAACAACCATCGTCCGCAACAGAGCAAACCCTCCCCTCTTTTCCCACTCCAGAACATTTTGCACTCTTGTGAACTGAAGTACAAAAGACTGAGTCCCTAAACAATTAGCACTTTAAGAGCTTAATAAATCATTCCTAAGCTTCAATGCTCTCTTAACAAGGTTTGCAAAATTTATCAAAAATATCATGAACATCATAATTATAGTCACAATGCACATCTCCCCCAAGAAAAATACTTAATTTTTTTACAAAAGTTACTGGTGATAAAGTACTCTCTTACATTTAAGCAATCAGTATTAGCTTATTTTCTAAAGCATATTTTTCAATTCTAATGGTGTTTAGTCGATTACATGTGAATAAAAAATGTTTTACATCTTCAACACCATTATTACACAATTGGCAAGTGCCATCACTATTGGGTACCCATTATGTCCTAATGGAAGAGTATTTGGGAATTTAGGCTTGCACCCATAAAATCTGTCTGGTAAAGTAAATATTTTTCCATATTCGGACTGCTCTTAATTGAAGAATATTCGGAAAGTGACGATTTTCTTAATATTTCGTTATTCCAAAAAGAAACCTAAGAATCAAGAATTAACTCTTTGAAATCATTAACCCAACACATATCGGACAAACGGATTGTATCTACAATAACGGACTAAATGTCTTTAAGAAGTAGTCTAAAAAGTGTTTATTATACTGACTGGTACACCATACAAGTGTTAACAATAAGCATTTGGATATCGTCATCATCATGTTGGAATGCAGGATAGAGACTTAGTTCATAACAACTCCCTGTTCTTGGGTGTCTGTCTTAGCATCAATCAATAAACCACTAACTCTAACCACTAAACTAATGAAGAGTTTCTTCCCCTCTATAAGTATTGGTTTCACTATTAAATCTAAGTAATATATAACATAAGTAAATATAGATAAGAATATCAGAGCATATCCTATCACATATCTTAACAGCGACCACCGATCAGAGCGTCAAAGCTGGCCTGGCTGATAACCGTAAATGTCAGTCTGCCGCCCTCTATTTTAATTGTTTTCTCTAAACCTGTAGCGTTTATAGGACTGTTCTCGTTTTGTCTGTTCAAAGTTCGTATTTTCGGCTGAATTAACTAAACAAATTTCAAGATGCCTGAAAGTAACTACAATTTGATATAATTTCTTTTATGGTTCTATGGATTTAAATGCTGAATTGATCCAGAATCGTTGCGTATATCATGTTCGCTAGCCTGCGTTTGAAGAGTAGAATCCGCCTAGGCCAGGGCTGGGCTTAGTTAAGGTTACATTGCAGTAGCAAGCAGGCTAGTAGAACGCCTTGACTTGGCTAGGTGGACTATTCAGCGTAAGCTAGGCGCCTAGGCCTACAGCGTGAGTAGTCGGCAAGCTAGACATGCACTTGTTTGACCAAGCCGAGAATTGGGTTAGGCCTTTAATTTTTTTTATGAGACTTATAATAGGGAGTGGAGTTGTTCTTGGTCGTGAGAAAAAAGTCCTGCTGTGACACAAACCCAACTAACTAAAACCCAGTTCCTTAGTTTGGATCACTCCTCGACGTCTCGAGTCCTACTACTTTGTACTACTAGGCCCTAGCCAGCTTCATGTTGTTGGCTTACGATATGCATATCATTATATTATTCAGGAATGTTATCCGTTAATAATATTATGAATGTTCCCTTTTAGTTGACAAACAGGTTTATATTTTTTATCATCAGTAACCAAAATTTTGTCAAGTGAGAGCATTGCTAAAAATCATTTTCCGGCCAGCTTAAAAAGGTTGAATACCCTGGCTCTAGGCTAGGCAGCCTTAATAATCTGCTACGTAATGCTGATAAAACTAATCAGCATTTTCATATCTTATTTGTATTTGTATCATACATCATGGCTGAAATGTTTGTGACCAAAACAGATAAAATTCAGCCCGAGTTTACCTGGGCTAGAGTAAGCTAAACTTATCTGGGCTAGGTTTAGCTGATAAAATGATAATTTTTCTACTAACTTTTGTTTTCTTTAATAGAAGGCGATGAGCCGTTTTCAAACCCATTGCCTCCGATGATGGAACGGAGGATGTCTGAAGACACTGAACCAGGGTAAGTTATTATGTTGCCATTTTCTTTATCAGGTCCTACAAAAAAGATTTACATGTGTGTAAACTTCGGCGGTAATGGAGCTTTCTGGAGCGATCAATTATATTTTACAACTGACCAATCAGAACAGTGCAAGAAGTATATGCATGTCAGCAAACATGCGTGTTGTCCCCTCAAATACACATGTTTACGTACATTTACACTGTCGTTGTTAAATCTTAGCAAAAGTATCCAAGATGCGGGGCTTAGCAAAAAGTTCTACTGGTGTGACCCTGTTCTCTGTCATACATTTTTTTTCTACTCTTTTATTATCTGAAATATTCTATGAAATGTTAGTACTGTATGATACTGTGTGAAGAAATTTTTTTATTTTATGTTTTACGAATTACTAGATTGTTGCAAAATATTCACTATTGGTTTATTAAAACTTTGATCAAAAACTATCAAATTTTCTTTGACAAAAACTGATGTATGGCCATAGTCATGATGTGCCTATATATGGTCATGATGTGATGTCATCTTGACCATATTTAGGCATGTCACAAGTTGAATGAATGATAGTGTGACAGGGCATTATAGCCTATTTTGGTACTACTAACTGTATTGTAAGCTCTGTATTATGGATATTAATCAATTGTTTTTATTACTTTTCAGAGGATCACAGATGACGAATGATGATTTCCGTCGTCTGCTTATGACACCACGTGCCACACCAGGTGAAGCACCACCATCGTCCTTGTCGTCGTCTTCTTCATCAAAGTCAAGGGAACACA